TGGGAAGGACACATCCTGAGAATTTTAAGAATCCTTAGATTTGTGAATACCCCTAGTGTGTATCTATTGGTAATAAAACTAAAGAAGAATTGAAAAAAGAGAGAGAGTTCTTCAGACTGTTAATGAGACTATAAATAAAGGCTTAGTGTGATTTATTAAACTATTTTTTTGGCAGAGAACCATCACATTGTTAGACCATTTCACTTTCTTTTACTTCCATCACGAGTCCCAGCAGTCAGCTTTTTTTTAGGGCCATTAAAAATGCATGTGTGTGTATATATGTATATATAAAGAAATCAATGTTCTTCTGTTGAAAAGTAACTGCACAAGAGCTATTGCAGATGTTATAATGAATTATAGACCACAGTATAAGATGTGTGAGTGCTGCGAGGCTGGCTAGGCTCACTCACTAGCTTAGTAATAGTCTTCTGCCTCCCAGCCTTGCAATATCAATGATTTGACTCCATGCCTCTGTAAAATGACCAATTGTGTGTGTCCCTGATGTTTTATTTATTTTTAATTTTAATTTTTTTAGAGACAGGGTCTTGCTATGTTGGCCAGGGTGGTCTTGAATCCTAGCCTCAAGTAATCCTCCCACCTTGGCCTCCCAAAGTGTTGAGATTACAGTCATGAACCACCACACCATGCCAGTTCCCTGATATTTGAGGTCATTTCAAATAGCTGAAATCAACCTTCATGTCCACAAATACCCAAAGAAGTCTACTATCTACACAATCCTTTTAGAATCCTATCACTTTTACCTGAAAATATTAATTAAAATGAAATGATCACAAAGAAAACAAAAAATTGTGAAAACTCTAGGCTCATGCCTGTAATCCCAGCACTTTAGGAGGCTTAGGCAGGTGGATCACCTGAGGTCAGGAGTTCGAGACCAGCCTGGCCAACATGGTGAAACCCTATCTCTACTAAAATTACAAAAATTAGCTGGTTATGGTGGCATGCGCCTGTAATCCCACCTACTAGAGAGGCTGAGGCATGAAAATCACTTGAACCTGGTAGATGGAGGTTGCAGTGAGCCAAGATTGTGCCATGCACTCCAGCCTGGGCAATAGAGTGAGACTCTGTCTCAAAAAAAAAGAAAAAAAAAACTTATGAAAGCTCTATAGGTGTTCCAATGAATAGATGTTTTAAATTGGTCTTTGAACTCAGTTCCAGGGGGATATCAGGTATTTTATTTATTTATTTATTTGCTTTTTGAGATGGAGTTTTGCTCTTGTTGCCCAGGCTGGAGTGCAATGGTGTGATCTCGGTTCACTGCAACCTCTGCCTCCACAACCCTGCCTCTGGCAGGAGAAGCAATTCTCCTGCCTCAGTCTCCTGAATAGCTGGAATTACAGACAGGTGTGAGCCACTGCGCCTGGCCCAGATATTTTCAAAGTAATATTATATCTATTTCCTTAGCAACAAATGGGGAATATTAAGCACAAAGTGATGTAAAAATGTTTTTGTTAAGGTCAATGGGCAAATCAAGGGAACAAATAGGGTTCTAAGTTGTGAAAGAGGCACCCTATGCCTATATGTGGAATGCATTTTCCTGCGGAGACTGTTTTGCATAGTGATTAAGTTTCCAAGTCAACCTGAAAAAAAAAAGGCCTGTTTCACCCATATTGTAGCTAAACCTTTCAATCATTAAATGCTTATGCTGCACTGACAGTAGGTGTGTGTTAGCAGCATATTACCAGGTAATAGCATTGCTGGTGGGCCCCTGCCCTTAAAAAGATTGCAGTCTAGTGACTGAGTGTGGTGCCTCATGCCTGTAATCCCAACACTTTGAGATGCCGAGGTGGGAAGATGGCTTGAGCCCAGAAGTTGGAGACCAGTCTGGGCAACATGGTGAGACACCATCTCTACCAAACAAACAAACAAACAAACAAAAAAGACAGGCATGATGGCAAGCACCTATAGTCCCAGTTACTCAGGAGGCTGAGATGGGAGGATCGCGTGAGTCCAGGAAGTCAAGGCTGCAGTGAGCTGAGATCCAGCCACTGCACTCCAGTCTGTGCAACAGAGGGAGACCCTGTCAAAAGAAAAGAAGAGAAGAGAAGACAAGACAAGAGAAGAGAAGAGAAGAGCAGAGAAGAGAAGAGAGCTTGCAGTCTCAAGGAGAGAAAAGTCTAGTCAGTGGCCAATGAGGTGAGTGAGCAGCTGTGACTGTAACTGGGTAAGCATGGTTCATTGTGCACATGTGGAGGGTGGGTGTCACCCCATCGGCAGGGAGGGGAGGAGGGCGAGGGGAAAGGAGAAAACCCTTCATGGGGAGGTCAGTTTGATAATTAAATCGGGAAGTAAAGGATTAGCAGGAGTTAACTAGGACAAGGGGTAAAAGTCGGGGATAACAGAAAGTAGAATGGTGGTTGCCAGGGGCTAGGGGAGGGAGAAGGGGGAGTTGTTTAATGGGTATAAAGTTTCAGTTTTGCAAGATGAAAAGAGTTCTGGAGACTGGTTGCACAATAATGTGAATGTACTTAACACCACTGGACTGTACAGTAAAAATGGTTCAGATGACAAATTTTAAGTTATGTGTATTTTTCCGCAATTAAAAAATGTTGGATAGGAGGAGATGAGGAACTGTGCTCCAGGCAGAGGGAACAGTATGTTCTAAAGCTTGGAAACAGGAAGGAGATTTGCATTAGTCCAAGGTCTTTTAGTTACTAGGAATAGAGGCGAGAAGGATCAAAACATTCTCTCCTTTTCGTGGATCTAGAGCTTGCTGCGAGGCCCCCTGTAAAAGGCTAAGTTAGCCTTTGGTGTGCTGCCATGGCCCCTTCTGTACTTTTCTCCTTCTAGTGTCCCCTCCTCCACGCAGCCGATGTTCTGCTGTTCATCCGAGCCCCCTGGGGCACTCCATGGGCCAGGCATGTTTCAACCCTTAAAGCTCTATGTACTTCCAAATTACTCACCTTTGTTTCCACCCCATCAGAATTTTTAGTCCCTCAGAGCAGCTGTTCCTAGCTAGGCTGCAAGAGAGCAACTATCTGATTAAATATACTTTTACTAAAGTGTGACAGACTATTCACCTCTCTGAAGTTTCAGAATCTTAAGAGGATACTTCTTAAACCAAGGTAAGTCTTTTATCGGTGAGATTTTAATGGTAGAATGAAGGGAAATGGTAACATTTTAGGTGCTATTAGAAAGAATATTTTGGTTTGCAGAGCTAGCCTGTAATCAGGCTTATCTTGCTTGAAAATTTGTTTCAGGACTTTGATTTTCCCAAACTGTTACTTTTTTTTTTTCCAGCTTCTCCTCTTCTCCCTATGATATCTCTGAAAGTTGCAAATCCTTTTTAGTGTTACCCACAAAAGGGTGTCTGATGCTGAGTAGGGGGAATTGGAGGGGGAAACGGAGGTTGCACAGAAGCCATTTGTTTGCATGGGTCATTACTAAGTCAAGGACTTCCTAAACTCTCATATATTGTCGGATGGAATTGCCCCTCTTTAGACTGATGCCACTATGAACCATGCTTAGTCATAAATATACAGGTTCCTTGGTTTCAAACCCTAACTTCACTACTTTGTGTGACCTTGGGCAAATCACTTAACGTCTCTGAGCCACATTGTCCTAGATGAAAAATGAAGATAATAATAGGATTTATCTACTATCATTGCTGTGGGGATGAAATGAAATAATGAATGCAAAGCACTCAGCATGATGTTTGGCGTATCAGGGATATATAACAACAGTAGCTGTCACCACCACCACCACCAACATCATCATCATTTTTACTGAGGGCTCCTATTTAAGAGCTGTTCTGGCCCCGTTCTAACCAATGCATGAGACTGAGCAAAAACGGCATGGAAACTCTTTCTACTTTCGTCAGGATGTCTGCCCAAGGAAGATGGCAGGGGGGAGTGCAGAGGGCCAGACTCCCAGGTATTTCTCTGTTTACAGATTTTGAGATTGGCAAGGATATGATTGTGCCTTTTCTCTTAGTTTTGCAATCTCTGGCACAAACAATCTTTCCACCCTGATTTGCCTACAGCCCTTGATCTGTGGCACTGCCTCCTGCCTGTTCCTTCAGCAGCTTCTTCATGCAGGATTCATTGCTGCCCAGCCCCAAAAGAAGCAGCCAGGAGGCTGGGAGTGGTGGCTCATGCCTGTAATCCCAGTACTTTGGGAGGCTGAGGCGGGCGGATCACGAGGTCAGGAGTTTGAGACCAGCCTGGCCAACATGGTTAAGCCCCGTCTCTACTAAAAATACAAAAATTGGGCAGGCGTGGTGGCAGGCAGCTGTAATCCCAGCTACTCGGGAGGCTGAGGCAGGAGAATTGCTTGAACCTGGGAGGCAGAGGTTGCAGTGAGCCGAGACTGACAAAAGCGAAACTGCATCTCGGAAAAAAAAAAAAAAAGCAGCCAGGAAGACCACACACATTTCTCTGTTAATCAAAGACTATTTTTAGGAGAGAAAGTCTCCAGGTCATCATCCTTTCCTTGGTCTGAAGCAGCAGCAGCCATATCTGTGGGTGGAGGATGAGCTACAAAGTCAACCTATACTCCATGGGGGAAATGAAATAGAAAAGGAATCTGAGGAGAGGCAGACCTGGCCTCAGTCATCTATTGAAAATACAAGCCTGAGTCTTTCCCAGATTGGCTCCTAGCTTGTGGTGTGTGCAGGGTGAGGGATGCACAACTCCAGGGGACAATGTCTACCTCATTATTTAGGGAACTGTGCAGTGGATTACCTTCAGAACCCACAGGACATCCCTGCAAATTATCCTTCCCCAGGCCAGCTAAGCATAAGCACTTGGTTCCATCCGATGTCTCTTCCTCACTAATATCTATACTCAGACCACGGGGCTGCCCATGAGTAACTCATGAGAACAACACATTTCTCAGGCTTTCCAAGAAGTAAATCCTCTCTGCTACTTATTGGTATATTTGGGGAGAAATTGTGGGTTTCTGGAGGTCTATATATGAAATAATATGATCATGAGTCAAATTACCTAGAGAAGTAGAGGTAACTTTTTAGGGGAAAAGCTTACCTTTTAGGAAATGCTGACTACTAGGCCCGTCCTCTTTATGGCTGATATTTGAATTGACAGATTCATAGGCTGAAAAACAATAAGATATTTTATCTGAGAGAGGGAAAAAGTCTTGTAAAAATTTATTCCCTTATCCGAAGACAGGGGAAAACATGAAGTGGTTGCCTCGATGTTTAAGCTTTGCAATGAATTGGATTTTTTGTTTTTGGTTTTTTTTTTGTTGTTTTTACTTTTTGAGATGGAGTCTCTTTCCGCTGCCCAGGCTGTAGTGCAGTGGCACGATCTGGGCTCACTGCAACCTCTGCCTACCGGGTTCAAGCAATTCTCCTGCCTCAGCCACCTGACTAGCTGGGATTACGGGCATGTGCCACCACGTCTGGCTAATTTTGTGGATTTTTAGTAGAGGTGGGGTTTCGTCATGTTGGCCAAGGTGGTCTCGACTGCTGACCTCAAGTGATCTGCCCACCTCAGCCTCCCAAAGTGCTGGGATTATAGGCGTGAGCCACCACACCGGCCTTGAATTGGATGTTTTTGAAAATCCACAGATGATATTCTGGAGAGAAGGTTGATCTAGGATTAAAAAAGCATTGAGGAAAATAAGGTTTTATCCAAGATGTTTAAAGGTAAAATTCTGTAGGGTCCATGATGATAAAATTCTGTAAGGAGAACTTTTGACAAAACAAGATCATGAAACAGTTAACGTTTGACACATGCTGCAAGATGCCCAGATTTGAACAGCAGCTGTGTCTCAGTGTGTGCAGCCATGGGGGATGACAGACAAGCACAAAAAGCCCCCCTCTCCGGTTGTAGCACAAACAGAGTGTTGGACCAGGGGAGCCAGGAGGGATTCTAGTCCGTCTGATTCTAGCCAAAAGACAGACAGGCTTTTTCACAGCCCCTGATGAATTTTTTTTTTTTTTTTTTTTTTTTGCGATCTGCTAGTCACCTGGGGTGAGAATTATTCTCTTAGCTGTCCTTGTCAGTCAAAATGAAAATTACTTAAAACAATGCTGTCTTAATGACTGATGAGAATTAGAATGACAGACTTGTGAAAGTTAAGGGAGAGGTAATAGCAAGGATGTCAATTGAGTGGGTCCTATATGAAGGGGTTTTTTTTTTTTTTTGAGACGGAGTTTCGCTCTGTCAGCAGGCTGATGTCAATGGCACAATCTCGGCTGGCTGCAACCTCCACCTCCCAGGTTCAAGCAATTCTCCTGCCTCAGCCTCCCAAGTAGCTGGGACTACAGGCGCCTGCCACCACACCCGGCTAATTGTTTTGTATTTTTAGTAGAAACAGGGTTTCACCATGTTGGCCAGGCTGGTCTCGAACTCCTGACCTCAGCTGATCCACCTGCTTCTGCCTCCCAAAGTTCTGGGATAACAGGCGTGAGTCACTGTGCCCAGCGGGAAGAAAGGTTTTTAAAGGGAAATTTGGTGTGTTTGTATGAGAGGGAGAGAGAAGCAGAGAGAGAGAAGGGAGAGGGAGATGTGAGATATCAGGGAGAGAGCAATAGAGAAGAAAAAAAGGAATCCTAGAAAATTCAAACGGAAAAGACTTAGAGATCTTTTAGTCTACCTAGCCACTAAACTCATCTCCAAATAATTCTATTTATTTATTTTTTTGCTTCATTGTCTCATTACCGATAACAAATAGACTAGAGAGGATGCCAAGAAAGAATGTTTGGGTCTTATTGATTTGCTAAACTGCGGTGGGGCTTGGTAAAGCCTGCCTCTCGGTGCTCCTGCGTCTCAGGGCACACACACCGTCACGTGCGCGTGGATGGCTGAGGCTGAGCAGGCGGCCTGGGATTCTGAGCACCAACACTGAAGAGAGGAAAAGCCGTAATTAGTGTTAATTGTTGACCCTACGGTTCAAGAATAGATGCTCTGGAGAATGGGAAATGAGAACAAACATTAATTATTGAGTAGGGACCTTGGAGACAGACACTCTGGATTAAAAGGAGAGAGATAAATTGCATAATGAATGTTAATTTTCCCTCAAAGAATTGAGTGGTCGGTGGTTGAAAGGGAAAAAGAGGCTAAAAAACAGTCATGAAAGAGAAAACTCTGTGTGTGTCAGGTGAGAGGGTGGAGGAGGGTTACACAAACACTGTCTGTCACCGCCACCGCCCTGCCCTTTGCCTCGTAGCTCCCAAGAAGTTTGGTATCAGGATTTTCCTTAGAACTCATTATTTACCACAGCTGCCTGCTAGGAAGCTCAACCATTTCCCCTACAGCCCAGGAGCCAGAAAACAGCCACACTGCATTGCTGACAAGCTGAGAGGCATACGGCATGGGGATCTATTTTTTTCTGTGGGCTGGTGGGACTTTGACTTGGCTTGAGGGAGGCTGCCAGAGCGGTGGCCCTGTGGGTGCTGCTGTGGGGACAATGTGGGCTCCAGGCCTTAGTTGTTGTTTTAGCTTAATTATAATACAGGAGACACACATGTCTCCCTTTCCAAAATAACCTTCTTAACTGAAAGTAAAAACAGAATAAAGATAATTTAGGCTAGGCGCGGTGGCTTACACCTGTAATCCCAGCACTTTGGGAGGCCGAGGCAGGTGGATCACTTGAGGTCAGGAGTTTGAGACCAGCCTGACCAACACAGTGAAACCCCATCTTTACTAAAAATACAACAAATTTAGCCGGACGTGGTGGTGCACCTACTTGTGCACCACGTGGTGGTATCCCAGCTACTTGGGAGGCTGAGGCAGGAGAATCGCTTGAACCTGGGAAGCAGAGGATGCAGTGAGCCGAGATCGCACCACCGCACTCCAGCCTGGGCAACAAGAACGAAACTCAGTCTCAAAAAAAAAAAAAGCGAATTTGAGTAGAAGATTGGAGATGAGCGCTGTAGCCAATTTTATAAAGAGGATCTACAAACAGGCTTGTCATGGGCGGCCCAGATCTCAGAGTGCTGGTTGAGATACTCTTGTGCAGTCAGCGGCCTCGGGGAGCATGCCTTTTAGGCATGGCTGCTCACTGCCTTCCACTCGGGCCCTCACCCAGTGCTGTCCGGCTGATTTTGCAGTAGCCTGAGCCCTCTGCCTTTTCTCTTGTCTGTTCCTTCATGCTAGCTCACGCGTTGGGTTGCATGACATCCCTCCTCAAACATCTGATTCCTTGTTGCAGCATTTCAGCTCTCTCCTGGCACACAAGGCTTTCCCTGGTCTGGCCCTGGTCTGCCTTCCAGGCCCAGCTTCTCCTCACCCCTGCATGAAACCCCCCCACAGTCCACTCACACCGTGCTGCTCCTCATTATCCACGTGTTCTCTACGTTCCTCTTTGTCCTTGTTCATGCTAATGTCTCGGCTGGCTGGCCCTCCCCTTCTCTGTCTATCTACTTCTCGTTTCTCAAAGGTCAGTGCAAACGGAGCTTCCTCTGTAAAAAGCCCTTCCCACCTTCCTAGGCTGCAATTAATGGGCCCTTCCTGGAATACCCCTGGATTGTGCTCTTAGGCCTCTGTGATGGCACTCATTTCATTCTGCCTTATGGTACAGTTATTGGCTTGTGAATCTGTTCTCCACGTGGACTGTGAGGTCCTTGAGGGCAGTAACTGCAGTGCCTGGGGTGTAGCCTTGGTGTGTGGAGTGAGGACAGACAGGCCTGGGAATGAAGCCCAGCTCTGCCCTTAACCAGGTAAGTGAGCTCCCTGTGTTTCAATCTCTTTACCTATGATATGTGAATGAAAATACTCACTTCCTAGAATCACTGGGATAAGGGAACAACATGACATGCACAGCAAGGTGCCTGAGGGTGTTTGCTCTCAATATTAACATCCTTCCATGTCCCTTGCATATGGGAGGCATTCGGTACATTATATCAAATGAATCAAACACACACGTAATGGGCCTTCTTTGAGGTTCAATGATATTTCGTATTGGAATTTTTCTTAATACTTTATAAGATGGAGAGCAAGTGTGATCTGATTTGATTTTCACAAAGCAATGTGAAGTATGTTGGCAGATATTATAGTTGCATTCTGTTAAGGCACAAGGTAAGCTGCTGTAAGACAAGAGACCCAAAAAGATAAACATTTATTCCTCTTGCACATGCACGTCCAGAGGTAGGCAGACAGGCTGATCAGGGTGGCTCTGCTCCATAAAGTTACCTGAACACCCTGGTTCCTAATATCTTAGTACTCCATCATCCCATACAGAATTGTTCTCTTCTACATGGTTGAAGCTATTACCACAACCAAGTCCAAGGAGAAGGAGAAGGGGAAGGGCAAACAGTTTCCTTTTAAGGAAATGACCTGGATGTGCATGTGTTACTTCCATTCACTTCCCATTGGTCAAACCTTGGTCATGTGGCCATACCTAGCTGCAAGTGAGTCTGGGAAGCATAATCTCTCTGTGGGCAGCCATGTGTTCAGCTAAAATCCAAGGTGGGGGGTTCTATTATTAGAATTTAGCTGAACACATTCTTCCACTATTCCTTTTGTAAATATTATTCAGTCAATATTCATAATATTCAGTCAATATTATGAGAAATACTCTGGGAATACAAGGTGTGTTCTCTGGGATATTCAGAGGTAGATGAGGGGGATCTACTCACAGGAATTTTCAATCTAGGAGGGGAAATAAGAAAAATAGTAAAAAGGATAAAAGATGTGAGGGAGTGCTTGGTAAGAGGCCCAGGTGGTAAGAATGAGTGGAACGTAAGGAAATAGCAATAGTTGTGGCTGAGGTGGTCAGGTAAGGCATCACAGTAGAGAGGGAACTTCAACTGGTCCTTGAAGCTTAAATACCTGGATAAGAGGGACTAGAGTCTGTGTGATGCAATGGGAAAAGCTCTGGCCTCACTGGATGAAGGAAGATCTGGGCTTGAGCCTTGGATTTGCCATATAAAAGCTGTGTGGCTTTGAGCAAATCATACCTCTTTGGGCATCAGTTTCCTTATCCATAAAATCAGAGGTTTTCTTTTCTCTTTTTGAGACAAGGTCTCACTCTATTGCCTAGGCTGGTGTGCAGTGGTGCAGCCATGGCTTACTGTAGCCTTGACCTCCCAGGCTCAAGCAATCCTCCCACCTCAGCCCCTGGAGTAGCTGGGACCACAGGTGTGCACACCAGGCCCAGCTAATTTTTAAAATTTTTTGCAGAGACGGGATCTCACTATGTTGCTCAGTGTATTAGTCCGTTTTCATGCTGTTGACAAAGATATACCCCAAACTAGGCAATTTACAAAAAAGAAAGAGGTTTAATTGGACTCACAGTTTCATGTGGCTGGGGAGACCTCACAATCATGGCAGAAGGCAAGGAGGAGCAAGTCACATCTTACATGGACGGCGACAGGCAAAGAGAGCTTGTGCAGGGAAACTCCCCATTTTAAACCATCAGATCTCGTGAGACTCATTCACTATCAGGAGAACAGCGCAGGAAAGACCCGCTCCCATAATTCAATCACCTCCCACTGGGTTCCTCCCATGACACATGGGAATTGTGGGACTTACAATTCAAGATGAAATGTGGGTGGGGACACAGCTAAACGATATCACTCAGGTTAGTCTTGAACTCCTGGGCTCACATGATCCTCCTGCCTCAGCCCCCCAAAGTGCTGGGATTATAGGCATGAGCCACCGTGCCTGGCCCAGCAGGTTTTCTAATTGTCGCATAGCTCTAGTGGCCCTGCATAGCCCCCCACCCCCACTCCTAGAATCATCTTAGGAGGGGAAGAGTTAGTTGGGCTGCAGAGAAGTTGGGAGGGACATAATTAGATCATCTCCACTTCAACCAGGTAGTTCTGCTTTTATCTGTTTTATTTACTAGTATTCTCAGAAAGTCTGATTAAATGATTCCTTTGCTTAAATACTGATGAAGGTGATGCCTAAGTTCCCTCCTGACTCTAGGGTTCCCTGAAACAGAACAAATGCAAGGGAGGTAGAATTCATAGCTTCACAGCTTCTGTAAAAAGTGACATAAGTACCATCATCTTAAAAAAAAAAAGAAATTATGTATTCTTCAGTACTTTATATTGATTTTTTCTTCAAAAAACGAATAGCTAATGGATTCAAAGCAAGCTATTTTTTATTTTTTTCCTTTTTTTTTTTTTTCCTGAGACGGAGTCTCACTCTGTTACCCAGGCTGGAGTGCAATGGCACCATCTCAGCTCACTGCAATTTCTGCCTCCCAGGTTCAATTCTCCTGCCTCAGCCTCCTGAGTAGCTGGGATTACAGGCACCTGCCATCATGCCCAGCTAATTTTTGTATTTTTAGTAGAGTCAGGGTTTCACCATGTTGACTAGGCTGGTCTCAAAACTCCTGACCTCAGGTGATCCATCCTCCTCAGCCTCCCAAAGTGGATTACAGGCATGAGCCACCGTACCTGGCTGCAAGCTATTATTCTTGACATATTTCTTCTTCGGAAGCCATAAAGTGGTGATAATGCCACCTTTTCAGCTACCTGTGAGGTAGGGAAGTCTTTGTGTTTCTAGGAATCACAAGAGGTTTTTGTCAAAGGAAATGAAGGAGAGTCCCTACTGTGTTTTAGCAGCTCTCTACTGGTGGCTATCAGGACACCTTCCAGAGTGGGCTGTGAGGCCTTGCTGGTATCACTACAGTGAGGGAAAGAACCCTGCTTCCTTCTGAAGGCTGGGACAAGCACAGCTATCACAGCCTGCCCTTCTACACCCACTCAACACTGTGGTACATGTGATAGACCTAACTTAGCCCCATGCCAAGCCTGATGGGAATCTCCTGTAATTTTTGTAAGAAGAGCTTTTTAGTCAGGGTTCAGCCCAGAACAGAAACTGCCCGGATATTTTAAAGAAGAAACAGAGTTACTATAGAGTAACTGCCTCTTATGCTCAGTCTTCATGAGTTCAGTGTCCAGAGCTTTGATGCTTCTGCCTCACTTCTGCCCAAATCTCATGCAAGCACATCTAATTGGCAGAACACAATTTGCATCCAGCCCCCTAGCTGCAGAGGTTATCTGGGAATGTAGTTTTTAGCCTTCTAGCCTCTGTAGTACAGGAAGGCCCACTGGAAGGAAACGCTGGGTGCCCAGAGACCATATCTAGCCACATTTTCCCTTATTCAAACATTTGACCTGAGATTGCTAGTACTGGTAACATCTGCCAACATTATTTCTCATGACGGTTATGAAAAACACTGAAAAGTGTTATGAAAAACACTATAACCATGTGGGGCTCCTATCTTCCTATATTTCTTCCTATCCAGAGATGGATGGATTGTGGACCCTATGATTCAGAATTGATGTTTAGAGAATAAAAACAATAATAGTCACAAATGATTGAATGGCTGAAATCCTGTTTCAGGATTTAGACAAAAGAACTGCTCCACTGAGAGTCTCCTTGGGGAAAGGGGCATATTTAGAAACACGCTATGTTAGAAGAACCTTAGAAATTATCAGTTTAGCATTTTCCAAAGTTTGCCAAAAACTTTTTAGATCCACATGATGCTTTACCAAAAACAAAGGCATTCAGTGATCAGATAAATTTGGGAAACAGTGCATATCCCCATCCTGAAGAACCATGGTGCACATCAGTGTATTGGAGGCTCTAGGAAGTCCTGCGGTAAGGGATCTGCTTAACTTTGGTCCACTGGTTTCCAAATGTATCTGGCCCTAGAACCTTTCCTTTTTTACACAATGCCTGTTAACCTTCTGAGGAATTGGAGTTTGATGGGACATGTGCTGTGAGGACTGAATCTGATACCCACTCCTCTTTTTCCATATGAGGAAGCTGAGGTCCAAGGCAATGAAGTTATTTGCCTGTGATCACAGAAATCCTGGGCAGTACAGGTGGGAATAAAACCAGAGTTTTTTTTTTCTTCCTCATATGGCTTTATCGAAATTAATTATCATCCCTTACATCTCTTGGCATCATCAATAAGGTAACAGCTACTAAGAGATGGGCTACTTAAGGAAAATCATAATTTAAACAGTACCCAACCAACATGGAAGGATTCTTTTACTCATGGGGTCCCACAACCAACTTATCACAAAGGAAAAATGGGGAGAACAGAGAAAGTCAATCACTTAGCCTGTGTTTTACCCCTAAATGATCAGTGTTTTGAGACCAGCTGGGATATTCTTAGACTCACCTTTCTGTCAACCAAATCACAGACCATCACAAAATGACACCAAGAATACTAGTTATCTAGAATACTAGTTACCTATTACTGCAAAACAAATGATCCTGAAACCTAAAACAATAAACCTTTGTTATGTCTCAGTTTCTGTGGGAATCTTGGAGTAGCTTAGGTGTGTGGTTCTGGGGCAGCCTTTCATTAGGTCACAGACACAATGTCAGCCAGGGATGCAGTCATCTGAAGACTTGACTGGGGCTGGAGAATCTCCTCTCAAGGCACCTCCCACACAAGCCTGGGAAGTTCATTCTGGCTGTTGGCAGGGGGCTTCTGTTCCTTGCCACGTGGACTGCTTGCCATAGGCTGCTTGAATGGCCTCATCACAGACATGGTGGTTGGCTTTCCCCAGAGTGAGTAATCCAAGACAGAGCGAGCAAGGAGGAAGCCTTGGTGCCTTTTATGACCCCAGTCTCAGAAGTCACATACCATCAATTCTGCCATAGTCTATCTTTACTTAGAAGTGAGCCATCATATCCCACTCACACTCAAGGGGAGAAGAGTTAGTTTTTCCCTTTTGAAGGGGAAAGTGTCAAAGAATTTGCGGATGTATTTTAAAACCACCATACTATGAAAGAGTTGCAAGGGGGAAGGATGCTAATTAAATGACAAATGACAACAACAACAAACAATCAAGAAAGGCTGGGTGCAGTGGCTCATGCCTGTATCCCAGCACTTTGAGAGACCTAGGTGGGAGCATTGCTTGAGTCTAGGAGTTTGAGACCAGCCTGGGCAACATAGGGAGACCCCGTCTCAACAAAGAAAAAGTCGGGCATGGTGGCTCGTGCCTGTAGCCCCAGCTATTTGGAAGCTGAGGTGGGAGGATAGCTTGAACCCAGGAGTTTGAGACTGCAGTGAGCCATGATTGCACCACTGTACTGTAGCCTGTGTGACAGAGCAAGACCCTGTCTAAAAATACAAAAAACACCCAAAAAACATTTTCTGAGGGTAAAAATCCATTTAGAACAAGAACAAATACTAAACAGAAACTCTGAAAGAGACCAGGAATTTAAATTTACATGGGGCTTGATGTCCAGCCTGAATCACTGGCATAAACATCCTTGAACTTCTTTGTAAAAAAAACTTCTGAATAAAAGAACTTCTGAGAGAAAACTTCTATTGCTGGCACTGTGACTAGGGAAGTACATGAAGGATTTGAATCAAGGATAAGCAATGCGGAGGGCATATCCAGTGGTTTGACTTGTATCCTTCCAAGTTAACTTTCCCTTTCTCAAGACTTTCAATTTTCTAAATGTTGCAATATCCCAACATGACCAAAAGGGTCAAATTCCAGCTCTAGTCTTCACATCTTTTTTTTTTTTTTTTTTTTTTTCCCTTCTGAAGGTTTATATTCATTTCCCTATGCTGTCTGAAAGCAAGATATCATGATCTAATTGCCTAAGAATTTATTTCCAAATAGTTGTTGACGGAGCCTGGAAGTCTCAGAAAGATCAGACAGATCATATTCCTTCCTTTACTCAAGAGTTTTTTTTTTTAATTAAAAAAAAAAAAAAAAGACCAACAACAACTATGATCCCTAAAGAACTTTCCTTTATGGCACCTGGGGTATTCAGTCAATCAACAAGCTTTTCTTGGACATATGATGGAGATGAGACGTTCTCTAGGACTCATATATTGGGAGCTAAACAGAAAACAGATGCAGATAAATACAATAATCACAAAAGCAGGATTGAGACAGAGAGAGAGGAATGGGGCTGAGGCTACATCTAGGCAGTTGTGTGCAATAAGGTGGATTTATTAAGGAAAATGTTCCAGAAAAGATGAACTTAAAGCTATTCTAAATATTTGGGGGCAACTTGAGCAAAAGTTTGGAGAGAAAAGAATGAAGACTGAATTTTTAGGCCATCAAAGAGATGAGCAAGGGGTGGGCTGGAATATAGTAGAAGATGAGGCTGGAGGGGAGGGTGGAGACAGTGATTAAGATGGTTTTGAACAAACTGATCTGCACAGAGTTTGGTGTGGTTGGAGCAATTATAGGTTGGTGCAAAAGTAATTGAGGTTTTTGCAATTAAAAGTAATGGCAAAACCGCGATTACTTTTGCACCAACCTAATATTTTGTGAGAGGAGAAAGTTTTTTCAGTATACTGTCTCCCAAACCAAACCAAACCAAAAAAAAAAAAAAGAAAGGCCAAAGCAAAAAAATCTTTGCTCATTAATACATACTCTTAGAAAGTCAGACCCTTATAAGGAAGATGTGGGTTTAAGATCTTTCACCACCTTCTTGGGCAACATCCTGCTACCATCAAGACTGAAGGTCAACCAACTGCCCATGGAGGAAAGGCTTGAGAAAGGTCAGTGGCTAACTGATTGATTGATTGATTGATTGATTGATTGATTCATTCATTCATTCATTCAATAAGCATGCAGTGAATGCCTTTAGGTTTGAGAGGCAAGTAGGATTAAATATACCGTCTGTGGGACTGGCAAGTCTTCATTTATCAGCATAAGTTTCATCTTTTTCTTTCTCCATGTCATGGAAATTATTGAAATATTTTTCAAAAAATTTCAGTAAACATTTATTGTGATCCTTCTATGTATATGTCAGGGACTATGCTAGGTGCCAAGAATACTGAAATGACTGAAGCATCATATTGACAATGGTGACAATAAACTTACAGCCTAAATATTTCCTTTTCTGCTTCTAGCTTTCGCTGTGCCAAAAGGGGGAACTATTTCTCCTGGAACAGAGCGGACAAATGTGCAGCAGGTGAACAGAATCATATTTGCTTTCCAGCTGCTGCACCAGCTGTATCATGCTGACAGCGGCCTCCACCTGTCTAACTCCTGCTTCCACCAATTCAGAACCAAGATATTTTTGTACTCATATCCTGGTATAAACCAACTGCTGATGGAAGTTCTTTGATGCTGAATTTGGAATCAAATACATTCTACTTTCTGGAAATCCATATACTAGGTGGCTGCTTCAATAGCGGTGGACACAGATGTAAAATGCAGCAATGGTCAAGGAATTTCTCAGAGGAGGAATGAATCCTCTCATTTTGGTGGAGGAACCTTGGATACAGGGAGGATGAGGGACTGACTCAAAGTCATCTGGCAACTTAGAGGCGAGGCCAGAGCTCCTCAAATCTCCTAGCTCTGAATCTGTGCTCTTTTTATTGAGCCAGTCATGACATAACCCCCCAAATGAGTGCAGCTTTTAATCTCCCACATCAAGGGGCCTGCTGGCTGCAGACTCATGCATACACATCACAGTGGTTTCTGGGTGGTTGATGCTCATCACCCTCTGACTTCATTTCTTTTTTCCTTTGCAAAATGGCTATTGCCCAGAGGCAGCATCTCTTTTCTAAAAAGTGAACATGCCAGAAGGGTTTTTGGAAACTGCCTTGCTATCTGTCAGGAGCCAGATGATTCACAGGGATGAACCAATGCTCATAACAAGGATACCTGATTGGATTACCAATTAGCCGCCTCCACCTCTGCAGGGTGGTTGGAAAGAAGAGAAAAGGCAGTGTTTAGTTTGGGCAAATACCAAAAGGACTTTATCATTCTCATCAAGGCATCAGCGTGGCACATTAGACCTCTTCCAAGCCATTCCACTGGAACTTCTCTCTCCAAATGCTCCAGCAAGAGTAAACTTGTTGTGCAAACATTGGATCATTGTGTCTGAGCTACAGAAGCACCTCTGTGTCAGTGAAAGGGGAGAAACTGGCTGACTTGCGTCTGTTTTTAATGATGTCTCTGCTGCTGGGAAAATTTGGAAGCTGCAGGTAACATCTTCCCCTTTGAAAAAAAAACCAGGCTGCCCTGGAGTGTGTGAGCTTACCTTTACCCGATGGAAGCGCCTCGGTTTGGGTCTGCCCTGGGAGGGACAGGCAGACTTCTTCTCCATCTGGACCCAGCAAGAAGTGTCCCAGGGTGGGGTCGCTGGAATCTTCTTGAAAATAAGCACAAGCATGGGCAGTGTCAACACCATGTTGGTGAGGAAGACAGACTGAACCTGGGCCATGTTCCTGTAGTCCCCTGTGGGCACACACCCGTAGATGCACGTGGGCTCAGGTGCCCACCAGAGTATAGTGGGAGCCTGTTCCTGGGACTCAGCAAAGCGGGGCTATTCTTCAGGCTCTGCCTTCTGGGGGTCAAGGTGGGATGAACAGGGAGGGGCTGCCACTCGCCTACATCATGCCTTCGGAAGAGCCTGGCTACCTCACGGGCAGGGCTAAGCAAGCATGGGCACTCTGTGTGAAGGAAAGGGAGTCCCTTCCTTCAGCCGTGTGCAGCAGCCCAGCCCCTGGGAACAGGACTTCCTGCTTCCTGCCTCTGCTGTCCGCCTCCGTCAGATGTCCTGTGCAGTACTCGGCATACACAGCCATAACCTCTAGATGAAATACTGGGATGGCTTGGTGATGCCAGGGGCTCAGGTCAAGGAAAAGGATGCTGTGTCTCCCTAGTTACTTAGAAAGATTGAAGGTATTTTTTATAACCTGACTGTAAAAGTAAAAAAGAAGTCATTTATTCCCCACTTGAATCTCAATGCTCAACCCAGAACACTCTTGGGACTAGATTGTGAGGTTTCCCCCATACCAAACAATTCTCCAGCAGATACCAACTCGTTGTCCTATAATTTAATTCAGTTCTGACACTCTCTACCGGGAGATGGTGTCAGATCCCACAGGGTAGGGCTCAGTCCACAAGATTGCCCCCCACTTCAGATGCCAATTGCAAGTCCCAGATCGTGACCTATACTTCTGACTGACCGGCTCTAAATTGGGCCTCCCACAATCCTCCCTCTCCTTGGGTTCAACAGTTTGGTAGGACAGCTCACAGAACTCAGGGAAACACTTACTTACATTTTCTGGCTTATTTATAAAGGACATTAGAAAGGATGTGAACAGCCAGATGAAGAGATGGGCGAGGATGTGCCGAGCTTCCGTACCCTCCCTGGGCCTGCTGCCCTCCCACCTAGACACACTCAGCAACACTGAAGCTTATCAACCCGTGGTCAACAGCTAATAAAGAGCTTGATCTGCAGTGTCCCCTCCCCTTTCCTGGAGGTTGTGGCTGGAAACTCCAACCCTCTAATCCTCTTATCGCTTGGTCCTTCTGGGCTTGGTCCTTCTGGTCGCTGGCCCCATCATGAGGCTACCTAGGGGCCTTACCCTATGTCACCTCATTAGCATAAACTCAGGTGTTTTCAAAGGGGCTCATTATGAATAACAAAAGATACTACTATCATTCAGAAAATTCCAAGAGTTTTAGCTTAGTAATAGAAACCAGGGACAAAGACCAAATTTATTCATATTATACTATACTTACCTTCCCCATCTCCAAGACAAAGGGGCCAGGAGTCCAGCTACCTGGACTAGCAGGCCACCCGCTAGAGTGGATGCTAAGGAGCACACACGTACACATGCACACTTACAAACACACACTGACATATTCACACTCTCACAGGGCATACACACACACCCCCATACACATGAACAGTGACATACATGAGCATATGACACACATACATTCACAAGACTGAATATATAGATATGTACATGCATATGCAGCCATGCCTATGTAGATGTGCACAACGACATGCATGCACACAAGCACACACATGTACTTACATGGGCATATAAGCACACATCCCACACACATTCACTTACACACATGCACACACCCAACACACACACTTGAGGCTTCAGGCTGCTCTCTTGTCCCAGTCCTGGTCTGGGCATTCTATTCTTTTTTTTTTTTTTTTTTGAGACAGAGTCTTGCTTTGTTGCCCAGGCTGGAGTGCAATGGTGCTATCTCGGCTCACTGCAACCTCTGCCTCCTAGGTTCAAGTGATTCTCCTGCCTCAGCCTCCTGAGTAGCTGGAATCACAGATGTGCACCACTATGCCTGGCTAATTTTTTTTTTTTTTTGTATAAAAATACAAAATATCTCTACTAAAAAGTAGAGATAGAGTTTCACCTTGTTGCACAAGCTGGTCTCGAACTCCTGACCTTGTGATCCGCCCACCTCGGCCTCCCAAAGTGCTGGTATTATAGGCATGAACCACAGCACCTGGCCACTGGTATTTTATTCTAATCAGATTCTCCCTTTATAAGGATGTCTAAAGTAGGTGTGAGTATCCATTTGCTGTGATTTGTCCCAGGCCATGCAACTTCCTAGGAAGGCCCCAGGTGGGGACATAACAATACACTAAGTTTGGTTCATTTGCATCAGAATTAAAGGAGCATTGCTGCCACACAAGTATAAAGGGGAGTGGTCTGTGAAAGAGAGGTTCCAACCTTGGAATGGTTTCTAGGTGAAAACAGTGTCTCTAGGGGTAGAGAGAGTGTTGCGGGGAAGGAAGGGATTTAATTTTGACCATCTCAGCCTGAAACAGAAGCTGCAAACACAGAATGGAGCTATTAATCTGTGGATTTAATTTATGCTTAAAGAATTCAATTACATACGCTCTGGGGAGAGAATGAGAGGGGGGTGTGCTGGGCAGGGGGAGAGAGAGAGAGCAAGCGAGACTGATTTAAATACTGAGGCATTCTGTCCCTGAGTGAGCATGAAATGAAAGATGTGAAATCTGTTGCCTCCATGATGGCTCTCTGTTCCCATATGCCTCTCAAAGTGTGAGTTTCTCGCAGCCCTGAGTGTGATTCTGCTGTTAACAGAGGTACCTCTTTCTTTATACAATCTGTCCCCCAAACACATGTCATCTCCTTCATCTGCTGCTCAAACTGAGAAAGCAGTCCAAGCCTTCAGCGAAGGAGAAACAGCTGCCTGGACCACACGTTCCTGAAAATGGTCTGTCAGTCTCCAGTGTGGCACCTTCCCAGGGATTTTCCGGGGTAACTTGGACTCTAGGCAATTTTTGCTCCATGAGCTACCTTTAGATGGAAGCCCCAGGGGAGCTGCTCTTGCACTGTCCTTGCATTATTGCTCTGTATAAGCATCTTAGTCCCCTCCTTGACTATTAGCTCCTTAAGGATAAGCACTTTAAGTAAGGCTAAAACCTAGAGGGAATGGCCTTGCCCTGCCTCACCCTTCCCTAGGAATCAGGGTCCTTTCGTCTCTGTGAACAGGCTCTGCCCTGGGCTGGAGTTGACTTCTGTCTGAGGACTCTTCTGTTGGCAGGCTCATCGGGCTCTCTTGCCTCAGGGGGCAAGGGTTATGGCTCAGTTTGGAGTGTGCCTGGTAAATCCAGTAGTGTGTCTCCCCCAGGAGCGCAGGGAGCTGTGTCATCAAATGCTGCTGCCAGGAGTGAGGAAAGCACAAAACAGCGTGGCAGTGCATGTCGGTGCAGCAAACCCTTAAAACATGTACTGACCCTTTAGGAATATGCATGGGGAACATTAATCCCACTGACATCATCAGAAACTGTGTCAATTACCTCTTTTCAATGGAGTGCCTTTCAGAAAACTTACATCACAGCAGCCACACGGCCCTGGAAATGAGCCACATACCAGCCAGTGGGGGGCATCTATGCACCCTGGGAATGGTTACCTTGAGCTGCTGGCAGTGCCCTCCTGGACGCTCTCATGTGCGGGAGACATGGGGGGCTGCTGCGGCCTGATGTCCTGGGGCTATCCAGGCCATTCTGGCTCTCGGGACTTTTTTTCCCTTTAATCGGGGGTAGAAGATCCAATGGTGGGGCCGCATCGTGGGGCGGGGCATCATCATCTTTTAAAACAAAAGGGAAAAAAGCCTGTGTGAGAAACCAGAATCAGCAGGAAGGAGAAGGAGGCTCTCTTCTAACGTGGTTAAAGGACCTCTGTGTGAAGACTGCTATGAAGAACGGGTAATTGTATTGTGGCTAGAAGGAAGAAACCGTCCTGGTGTTAGGATGGTTTATTCTACTCATTCTCAGGTTTGTCCCTCTTTTCCAGTCCTGCGAAGCAGCAGGGACCTGATATCTCCCATGGCCAAAATGACATGACTCTTGACTAGAATCGTGGCTGTTCATTTGGAAAATTGCCAAGAACTGGGAGGAACTGAGTGGTGGTTGTTTTTATTCCCATCTTATGGATGAAATCCTGAGATGGAAGGAGGACTGAAGAGGGTGCAAACTCCTTCCACCCTCAGTCCCAAGGCTCTGACTAGAGAGATCCCAGCTTTAGAGCTGATGAGATTATTGGATACCGATTTCTGACCACAAAGTAGTTTTGCTAGGCAGAGTCAATGATCGCATTCCTTCGTCAGGGTTAAATAAAAAGTGCTACCTTCCAGATGGAAGTCAAAGGGCATCAGGATTGACGGTAGCATTCCATAAAGCATACCCTACCCTCTGCCTCCATTTTCTCTTCTCAACACCAACAGGGCCTGCTCTAGGAAGCAGGAAACACAGGAGCCCAAGTGACTGAGGCCTTGGCTTTGCCTCTTTCAGAGGCAGTGGTCTTTATTTCACATTTAAAACAATAGTTGCTATTAATATTTGGGTTTAAAAATTGGCTTCATGTGGTCTCAAATGATCACAGACTACTAACTCATTAAAAAGAGGCAAAGTGTCTTTACAATGGAAAAATGGGGCAGACATCACCTTTAACCAAATAATGAAATTTAACATCACCTGCAATGGAAGAAACTGACATTTTGTAACCCTTGATATGATGGGCCGAGAAAGACACAACGTCACCTCTGTGATATTCCTGCCAAAAAGGTTTGATCTGAATCTCATTATGAGGAAATAGAAAAATCCAAATTGAAGGTAATTCTGCAAAGCAACTGGCCTGTCTTCTTAAAAAATGTCAATATCATGAAAAACAAGACTAGGGGACTCTTCTCGATGAAAAGATTCTATCGAGTGGGACCACTAAATGTAATGCATGATCCTGAGTTGAATTCTAGATTGAAAAAAAGCGATAATAAAGGAACATTATTAGTATAAATAGAGAAATGTGACTATGAATTAGAAATTAGAAAGTACTATTATATCAGTGTTTGCTTTCTTGAGTGTGGTAATTGTATGTGGCTAGGAGGGAGAATATTCCTGGACTTAGGAGATACGTGCTGATAAGGGATAAACGGTACAATGTCTGCAACTTACTCTCAGGTGGTTAAGCAATAAAATAAAAAATATACATATGTGTGGATGCATGTGCCACCTCTGTGGCAATGGAGCAGTCCCACTCAGCATCAACATGCCCATGCAGCAGGGGCCTCTGTGTGACGACTGCCATGATGAACTGCCTCTTTGTTGTTGTTGTTGTGGTTGTTTTTTAGACAGAGCCTCTCTCTGTCACCCAGGCTGGAGTTCAGTGGCATGATCTTGGCTCACTGCAACCTCCGTCTCCTGGATTCAAACAATTCTTGTGCCTCAGTCTCCAGAATAGCTGGGATTACAGGTGTGTGCCGCTACACCCAGCTAATTTTTGTATTTTTAGTTGAGATGGGGTTTCACCATGTTGGTCAGGCTGGTCTCGAACTCCCGACCTCTGGTGATCTGCCACCTTGGCCTCCCGAAGTACTGGGATTACAGGTGTGAGCCACCGCGCCCGGCCGAAACTGCCTCTTTAGGTTCCTTTCATTCTGCATCTACTCCCAGGTTCGGTCGCATGCATAATTTATACCAAGGGGCTTCTTAACCAGTTTCTTCCTGGCAGAGTAGCAGAGGAGGGACAAGTTCTGGTACTCAGTTCCTGGTGGACATGGCAGCTCAACACAAGTACAGGGCAGTGCAAAATGAACACTACGGAAGATGAAAATCACTGGTGTCCTTTGTCTCATGGCTCCAGCTGTGCACCTCGCATTGTGGCCCATAAGCAGAAAGGTGCTTTTTTCTCTATTTGCAGGGTGATCCCTGCCCATATTTGGATTTTTTTAAAAAAGGAAACATTAAAGTCTTTAGGATCATTAACTCCCACTTAAGAGATAGACCAAATAAGCCTCTGCCTCAATAATCAAAGGACATTCTCTAAATGTTTCGAGGACGTCCTGATCTAGGTTCATTGTTTGGTTTATTCTTTTATTCTTTTTTTTTTTTTTTGGTATTAGTTAGAAAATCACTATGTTGGGCTTATTCTGAAAGGGAATGTAGTATAATGAGTAAGAATATGGATTCTGGCACTGGAAGCCCTGAGCTCCAATCCTAGTGAGGCCACTTATAGTTATGTGACCTCAAACATACTACTTATCTCTCAGGGCTTCTGTTTTCTGATCTGTAAAAGGAGGAGAGGATTGCTGTGAGGAGTACCTAAGAGAATACATGTTAAAAACTAAGAACAGTGCCTGGCACAGAGGAAGAACTCCAAACACATTAATGTGCATCTTCCTATTTCTGATACCAGCAGCAGAGGTCACTTGACATCTGTGATACTGTCATCTTGCACATGCCTTTTGGAAAGGAGGCTCAGCTTTCTGAAAATGGGGAGCTTTCTAAATATGGCCTGTTAGTTCTGACCTATCCAACACATAAACACAAACACTTAGATGCACCCATGTGTATATTTTCAAATGTCCACATGTCATAGAAATTGGAGTGAAGACTTTTATCAATATTATGGATTTTTTTTTTTTTTTTTTCAGACAGGGTCTTGCTCTGTCACCCAGGCTGGAGTGCAGTGGCACAATCTCAGCTCCCTGCAACCTCTGCCTCCTGGGTTCAAGTGATTCTTGTGCCTCAGCCACCTGAGTAGCGGGGATTACAGGTGTGCACCGCCACGCCTGGCTAACTTTTTGTACTTTTAGTAGAGATGGGGTTTCGCCACATTGGTCAGGCTGGCGAACTCCTGACCTCAAGTGATCCCCACCCACCTCAGCCTCCCAAAGTGCTGGGATTATAGGCATGAGCCACCACACCCCGCTGATATTATGGACTTTTTAATGAATAAATACCTATTTATAAACAGATTAGAGATGAAATTTCATTGTTTAAAAATACAGGATAAACTGTCAGGCATGCAGCAAACTTTCAGGAAGTTTGATGCCTTTCTACATCTGCAACCAGAAACTAGTAGTGGGATGAGTTAGGGAGTAGGTAACTGGTGAACTGGACACTGTTAGTTTTAGTGCAGCACTTTGGTGAAGGCAGCTCCTGCCTGCACAAAGGCCATCTTCCAGTGGTTGCCAGTGAACGAATCTCCCTTCCAGCCTCCTTTTTCTTGGCCGTGGACCATTGTGTGTCTTGCCTTGCTTCCCTTCAGAGTGAGGTTCCCGAGGGATGCTGGAGGGAGGGAGGAGCTACCTTGAGGTGAGAGTGTGTCCCTGCCCGCGTCCACTGGGAGATGCACCGTTAACTCCCGTGGCGTTTCTAAGGACACAGGCTTTAGGGGCGGTTTCCACACAGGCCTGGCTTCTTCGCTTCTTTCTGGTTCTGACTTAGGGTGTGGAGCACCTAGGAGACAAAGAGGAGGCTGAGTTGTAGCAGAGGTCTGTTGTTTTTGCCTAATGTCTCTTCTTTTGGGGAGCTATGCCTTCCTTGCTCACACCATGTGGTTTGGTTGGAGCAGTGTCCATTTGCTGATTCCAGAGAGGGGCATGGAACTGAAGCCTGGCATGGGAGTACCTCATTGCCTTGGCCAGAGAGATTGGTTCCGAGGTGGGCACAGGACCCTAGTCCGGTCAATCACGGGTGATTTCTGCGCTTTGCAAGAGCTTTTAAGAGGCATATCCTTTCTATAGAGGATAACAGGAAGGAGATTGGCAGGGAATTGCAGGAAGACGTCTTTATCACCTCATGGTAAGAGCCTGCTTGAGAGGAAAGGCTAACAGAGTTGAGAGACAAGTACTGCGCACACATTTTCCGAGGCCTGGATTCAGCTGCTCCTGTAGTTACCTGATTCTTGCATGAACCAATTCCTTCTTTCTTTCCTTCCTTCCTTCCTTCCTCCTTTCCTTTCATCCTCTCCCCTCCCTTCGCTTCCCTCTTTCCTTCCTCCTTCCTTCCTCCTTCCTTCCCTCTCTCCCTCCCTCCCTTCCCTTCTTCCCTTCCTTCCTTCCTTTCTTCCCTTGCTTCATTTCTTCCCTTGCTTCCTTCCTTCTTTCCTTTTCCTTCTTTCCCTCTCTCCCTTTCTTCCTTCCTTCTGTCTTTCCTTCCTTTTTCCCCTTTCCTTTCTTTTAGCTTAACACATTTTGAGTTAGGCTTCTGATGCTTTTAAAGGAGGGTCCTCATGACATGTAAATGAGGGAAGAACTCCATGCATTCACTTTCTTTGTACCCGATTCCTATGTTGCATTGTCAGTGTGTTGGCAAGCTCGGTGCATCTGGTTTTAAGAATCTGATTCATGATGGCCTGGTGGTTTTCCTCACCTTCCTATCAGGGTCATCATGGAAAATAAGATTGAACCCAATCTTGTGAATAGTCTTGTCTCTCTTTTTATTAAGTGTGTGTGTGTGTGTGTATGTGTGTGTGTGTGTATATATATATATAT